CTGGGCTGCTTAAAGGGAGGGACTGTGAAAAGGGAGATGAGAAATGTTGGAAAAGAGGTTTAGGGTTAGATCATGAAGGGCCTTTTTAATTTTTTCCCCTATGGCCACATCATGTGGCATGTGGATCCTAGTCCCCCAACCAGGGATTGAACCCATGCCCCCTGCAATGGAAGTGCAGTGTCTTAACCACTGGACTGCCAGGGAAGTCCAGCAGGGGTCTTTCTTGATTGCTACACCAAGGAGTTTGGACTGAGGAGGGAAGAGGATCCAGAGAAAGTTCTAGATTAGGGAAATGGCTCAATCAGGTGAGTTTTGCTTCAGGAAGGGCCATGCTGGGCTCTGTTCTTGGCCTTTTCCCTCATTAGCTCTCCCATGCTCACTGGCCAACTCTGGCTCCAGGGTGAGCTGGGATGGAGCAGGGAGGCCCCACTCTGTGAAGATGGGGGTGGCGGCTGCAAACACAGAGGCGCCACAGAGCAGGGAGGGCTCTCGGGGAGGCAGCAGCTCTGCTGGTTCCTCCATGTTTCCAGGAGGGCAATGAGGCTTATATTAATAAGAGGTAATTATGGGCACCCGGATGGGCCTAAGTATAGCTCAGAGACAAAGGCAGCCAGCTGCTTCCCCTGCAAGGCCGAGGCCTGCCTATTTTAAGACTTCCCCAAGGTGAGGCTCCTGCCACCCCTGGGTGCTGGGTGACTGAGAGGTTGGCACCCAGTGTTCCAAGAATCCTGACCAAGAGAGCTCAGGGCAGATCCACGTGGACAGACCACCCTCAGCAAACCCTCTATCTAATGCCTAGAGGTGGAAACTGAGAGGTACCCATCCAAGGTCACAGCAAGTGCAGAGCAGAGCCAGGATTTGAATCTGGGTGCAGTTGCCTGCATTTTCCACTAAGCTATGTGGCCTCCTACACTGGATGCCTTGGCCTGCCCCCAAGAAGCAAGTGAGGCGGGGAGCAGAGCACTACGGATATTTATCAAGTGCCTAGAGGCTTTCTATCTGACATCATAATTAATCTTCATCACAGTCTTGAAAAGTGAAGATCCTCATACCCATGTTATAGAAGAGGAGACTGAGGCTTAGGAGGAATAATTAGATCACCAAATGACCCGCAGTAAAAAGAGAAAGTAGAAGCCAGTTACACCCTGGCTTTGGGTCAGATTCCCCAGGAAAAAGACTCTGAAGTTTCCCTGGGAAGTCTCTTGGGAACACCTGTGACAGCTGAGGGGCAGCGGATGGGGCAGTGTGAGGAGTTAGGCGGAGATGTACTTACAACAAAGGCCTCGGCTAATCCCAGGGGAATCCCAGCTCTGGAGCTGGGATGGCCCATTTGTTCTGAATGGGGCAGGAAGGCCAGACCTTGGTTCTGTACACCCATCAGTGACTAGACACAGGCTGCTCCTGGGAAGAAGCGTGAGCTTGACTGAGGCATCACCCTCTGGCGGAGAGCAAGTCCTAACAGGCACCCGGCCATGAAGTATCAACAGCCAGTGCCCTTGGCCACTGGAGGTGGGTGTGCCTCAGTTCTGAGGTGGGACTGAGGCTGGAAAAGCTGGTAGAAACTAGAGCATGCTGGGCCTTCTAACCCTCCACTCTTCACTGAGGCATCTCCTCACCCTCTACTCCTTAGCTGGCGATCTTGCCCCAACACAGTCCTCTTCCTTTGCAGACCCTCTAGGGCAGGAAGACCAGTGGGGTTATGAGTGAAGAGCCTTGGGTTCCAGGCTGGAGTGACCTTGCCATGAGGCCTTATGCTGTCCCTTTCCTGGGCTGACACTCTTTGTCTCACAGTTGCCTTAGCTCCAGCATGCCACATGGCTGGAGCCTAGGGTTAGCGGTCTGCAGAGACTAGCTCTCCTCAGTGGCCTTGAACACCCGGCCAAGAGCCATGGGGATGGGACTTCCCTGGTGGTCCAGCGGTTAAGAATACACCTTGCAATACAGGGGATGTGGGTTCGATCCTTGGTCGGGGAACTAAGATCCCACATGCCGTGAGGCTACTGAGCCCCAACTAGAAGGTCCGTGTGCCACAATGTAAGATCCCCTGTGACATAGTGAAGATCCTGTGCATTGCAACTAAGACCTGATGCAGCCAAGTCAATAAATAAATAAATTTAACAACAACAACAAAAATCTTTTTTCAAAAAGTAAAAGAGCTTCGGGGAACCACTGAAGAGGAAGGACGCTATTGCTTTGGCAGGTTAGAAGTATCATTCTAGTTGCAGTTTGCAGCCTGGATTGCAGGGGTTAAGAGTAAATGTAGAGAGACCAGGGAGGAGGCTGGTATGATTTTCCAGGTGAGCGGTGGGAGTGACATAGACAGACAATACAGAGAGGGGATGGCATCTGAAAATATAACTGAGGTGGAGTCCCTGGGGCTATCACAGTTGGGGATCCTCAGAAGCATGACCAAGATAAGGATTCAGGTGCAAGTACTTTATTTGGGAATAGGTGGCACAGTGTTGGAGGGCAGAGGTAAAGTGGGGAAGGGAGGTAGCCAATGAAGAGGGCATTATCAAGCAAGTGACCGCCCAACCAGAGCTCACTCTCACTGAGGACTGTAGAGCCCACACCCCTGTTGTCCCACCCAAGGGGGAAAGAGTCAGGGTATTTATACACCAACCACCTGGAGTCAGTGGTTGAGAGCTGCAGCCAGAAGGCGTGGTGGAGAGGGGGTTGTTAATTCTCCCGCAGTTCCTGCCAGCCACATGTGAGCAGAGCGCACTCCAGCTGCTAGAGGAAGCCCCGGCTCCCTCCAGCAGGGATGCAGGCGCTGAGAGTTGGAAGTCAGCCTGCTGGGCATCACAGTGATGAGGCCACAGGAGATACGGGTGGGGTACCCACAGCCACTGCCGTAGCGACCAATTGGACATGAATTCAGTAACAGGCTCTTTTTGAAAGACACAGAAACAACTCAGACGTAAGCAAAAAGGCTCTTAACTCTCATATCTAAGATGTCAGGCAAGATCTTGACAAAGGACTGCAGACTGACACTCAGATAGCAACCTGAGGATGCCTCTTTCCCAAGAGTTCAGCCATAATCCCAGGGCTGACTCTCACTGGCTAACAAGGATCCTGTTTCTATCTCAGAGCCAATCAGTACTCGGGGATGCAAGACTCTTGATTGGCCAGGCCTGGGTCACGTGTCTACCCCTGGGGTTCTGGCATAAGGCTGATTCCACCTAGACCACAAGAAGGGAGTCTAAATCATTTTCCAGGCACAGTGGGAACTGTTGTTAGGGGAAAGATAAGAAAGGTCGGGAGAGAAGTGCTCGGGGCTGAGAGGACGAGTATAGTGTGCACTTCTGGGGAAGGACTGGAGCTGTCTTCTGCTCCTGGTGACCAGCCCGCTCCGCCTCTGGTATTTTGAGGGAGTCAGGCCCCTGCCGAGCCAGCGAGCAAGCAGACTGTGTTTGCAAACTCTTCTGAGTTTTCAGTATCACTGGCCTTACTTGAGTGGGCACCGAGGACAGATTGCTACACACACAGTTCTCCAGCTGGAGAGCCAAGGAGTCACTTGGGACACAAGTGAGCCCAGGGACACTGCAGCCCTGAGGGGCTGTAAGGAAGCTTGGCCAGGAGCAAGAGGGATCCGGGGGTGGTTTTGCGTTTGCCTGAAACTGTCTTCAAGAAGAGGTTTGCCCAGAGGGAGCTGCTGCTGGCTGGAGTGGAGGAGGATACTTGACTGTCTGGGACACTGATGGGGGCTGAAGTCTGAGTTACTTCACTTTGGCTCAGATTGCTTCTCCCAGCCTCAGTTTCCCCATCTGTAAAATGGAGATAATGGTCCTCCACCTCATGTGGCTGCTGTAATGAAGATAAAGATGCTAATCAGCAGAGTTCCTCTCCAGGCTGGGGATAAAGGCTCTGAAAAGCCTCCTGGTAGAAGCAGAGATGCTCCCTGGTGGGGGGCAGTGGGGGAGGGGCTTTTCAATCACACAGACCTTCATTAAAGTGCTCTGAACTTCAGGAGTGGGCTCCCTTAGGCTTCTAGAGGCAAGGAGAGGCTCTGGCAGAGAACGGGGAGAATTCCAGCTGGTGGACTCTGCACAAGTCTCAGGCTTAGAAAGGCTTGAGGCACCATTGGTCATGAAAATGGCCAAGTCCAAGTGTGGCAGGCCTGCTTCCAGGGCCAGCACAGATCTTCCCATGGTGGTCTACACTGTCAGTGGGACCAACCCTAAGGATGAGAGGTGGCTATTTGGGGGGCATGTGGAGTGAGCGTGTATGGGGCTTCTTGTGGTGAGGAACAGTCATGCGGCCTTGGAATCTGGAGGAGACCCTGGTGGCTCAGTGCTAAAGAATCTGCTTGCAATGCAGGAGACCTGGGTTTGATCCCTGGGTCGGGAAGACCCCATGGAGAAGGGAATGGCTACCCATTCCAGTATTCTTGCCTGGAAAATTCCATGGACAGAGGAGCCTGGCAGGCTACAGCCCATGGGGTCACAAAGAGTCGGACACAACTGAGTGACTAACACATGAGAAGTCTGAGTTTGAACCTGGCTTTCCAGTTTATTGTGAAAATATATTCATCAAGGTAGGAAAGTAGAACATATTTTAACAGTTTACCAGCCTGAGCTATCGCTTTTATTTACATATATGGTGAGTGGGTCTCCATTTTACTCTTTTTTTTTTTTAATGCTATCATTTGTATTTGGAATTTAAAAAATGATATAAATGAACTTTAAAAAATTCCTTGTGTTTCCATATAAATTTTAGAATAAGCTTGTCAATGAATAATATATATATATAATTTTTTTTTGACTGTGCTGGGTTTTCATTGTCCATTTTACTCTTGATCTCAGTGCACAATGCTAAGGGAAGGCCAGGAGTCTTCAGAAATCCTCCCACCCTTGAGATCTGTGGGGGGTCTGGGCTAGCCTTCCCCTCTGAATCCAGCTGATGCCTGTCTATCTTCTCTCCCCAGGTCAGCTGCTGCCCGGGAGAGGCGACCCGGGCGCCCCGCTAGGGCGACGGCCCCTGCCCCGAGGGCCGGGATCATGAAAGGCCTCGGTGACAGCCGCCCCCGCCACCTCTCTGACAGCCTGGACCCACCACACGAGCCCCTGTTCACTGGGCCTGACCGCAACCCCTACCTGCTATCGCCCACAGAGGCCTTTGCCCGCGAGGCCCGCTTCCCCGGGCAGAATGCCCTGCCAGGGGATGGTCTCTTCCCGCTTAACAACCAGCTACCACCGCCGAGCAGCACCTTCCCCCGAATCCACTACAACTCCCACTTCGAGGTGCCAGAGGAGAGCCCCTTCCCTAGCCACGCCCAGGCCACCAAAATCAATCGGCTGCCTGCCAACCTACTGGACCAGTTTGAGAAGCAGCTGCCCATCCATCGCGATGGTTTTAGCACGCTCCAGTTCCCTCGCGGGGAGGCCAAGGCCCGGGGCGAGAGTCCTGGCCGCATTCGCCACCTGGTCCATTCTGTCCAACGGCTCTTCTTCACCAAGGCACCCTCCCTGGAGGGCACGGCAGGCAAGGTCGGTGGCAATGGCGGCAAGAAAGGTGGCCTGGAGGACGGCAAGGGCCGGAGGGCCAAGAGCAAGGAGCGGGCCAAGGCCGGGGAACCCAAGCGGCGCAGCCGCTCCAACATCTCAGGCTGGTGGAGCTCCGATGACAACTTGGATGGCGAAGGTGGCGCTTTCCGCAGCAGCGGCCCGGCCTCGGGACTGATGACGCTCGGCCGCCAGGCGGAACGCAGCCAGCCCCGCTATTTCATGCACGCCTACAACACCATCAGCGGGCACATGCTCAAAGCCGCCAAGAACACCACCACCGAGCTGACCGCCCCGCCACCCCCGCCCGCACCCCCGGCCACCTGCCCCAGCCTTGGGGTAGGCACCGACACCAACTATGTCAAGCGGGGCTCCTGGTCCACTCTGACCCTCAGCCATGCCCACGAGGTCTGCCAGAAGACCTCGGCCACCTTGGATAAGAGCCTGCTAAAGTCCAAATCCTGCCACCAGGGTCTCACCTACCATTACCTGCAGGTGGGTCCCTGCCAAGGTCAGGGGTGGGGTGAGGGGTTGTGGGGAAGGCACCAATTTGAGACTCAGCTGTACCACAGGTTGACTTGGAAAGATGTTTCACTCAGGCCTCTGTTTACTCACCTAGGAATTGGGTGACGGGTGGTATCTTGCTAATAAGATTCTTTCCATTGGTCGTATGCTCAAGAGCCACTGATTAAGACCCTTCTGAGACCAGCCCTGAGTAGGGACTAAAACATATCCCTGCCCCCACTTAAAAAAGATTTATTTATTTTTATTTTTGGCTGTGCTGGGTTTTCATGGCTACACATGGGCTTACTCTAGTTGCAGTGAGCAAGAGCTACTATTCATTTGGTGCATGGGCTTCTCATTGCAGTGGTTTCCCTTGTTGCAGATCATGGGCTCTAGGACACGGGCTTCAGTAGTTGTGGCATCTGGGCTTTAGTTGCTCCATGGCATGTGGGATCTTTCTGGACCAGGGATGAAAGCTTCGTCCCTTGCCTTGGCAGGCGGACTCCTAACCACAAAACCACCAGGGAAGCCCGCGTATCCCTGCTCTTGAGAAGAAAAATCTGAAAGCTGTGCCATCTATCCCCTCCTAGAACCAATTGCATGGCATTCTGGTGCCAACCTCCTACCTGGTACTGCCACCAGACTGGGGGCTCCTTGAGGACAGGGACCATATCTGGTGCCATTCTGTGTCCCCAAGGCCCAAGACAGAGTCTGTCATAGAGGAAGTGCTCAAGAAACATGAGAGGAGAGAGGGGTAGATGAGCAGATGAGCACTTAAGTGAAGAGATCAAAAAATAAACAAGACCTATTCCTGATTATCAGGGTGCTAGGAGGAAAAAAGGGGCTTCCCAGGTGGCTCAGTGGTAAAGAATTCGCCTGCCAGTGCAGGAGATGCAGGAGATGTGGGTTCACTCTCTGGGTCAGGAAGATCCCCTGGAGGAGGAAATAGCAACCCATGGACAGAGGAGCCTGGCGGGCTACAGTCCATAGGGTCACAAGAGTCAGACATGACTGAGCAACTGAGCATGCACGCTGGAGAAAAAGACACACGAACAGTCCTCTCAGTGAGAGCAGAATGTGGTGAAGATGAGCAGGGAGCTGCAGGAGCCCAGAGGCCCTAAGTCCTTTTGGAGGACTAGCTTTTCTCTTTCAGACACTAGAGTTTATTGAGGCACTTATGCACCAAGGTCCCACTGCTGGAAAGTGGCAGAAGGCTCAGAGATGTCTCTGCTGCTACACATGCACTGGGTCTCTCAAGGGGAGAGTGAGTGGCTGTGAACTGGGTGGCTCCCAGCGCCACAGCCCAAGCTGTGGGTGAAAATGACGGAAAGTAGATTTTCTGTTCACTAGATGGGAGGGGCTGCTTCAGTAGGTAGCGTGTGCCTCATCCCAGAGGGCAGGTCAGCACAGGCATGGCCAGCCCTTGGGAACACATTAGATGCATTTTGAACCAGATGAACATCAAAGTCTGACAGATCCCTGCATTATTGTCATGCTATATAAATTTCCAAAGACAGTGAGACTATGGAGGGGAAAGACTCTTTGTGTTTTTCCAAAGGAAGGAAATGAAATCTAGGCAGTATTTTATATATTTAAGGCATTTGTGGCTCTCAATCTACCTTCCTTAGTTTAGAAATATAGGAGAGGGTAGCGTGCAACCTAGCTCCCTCTCAGATAATGTGGTTTAGTCTGATCATGTGAAAATGCCTCAGAAACACCATGAAAAAGTGGCCCTGCAGGCGCTGGGGTGGTGCCAACTGCTTGCTCCACAGGAATTAGGTGGGTTAAGAGCTGGGGAAGCAACAGGTGTTGAGCAGGGGTATACAAAGCCACCTTCCCAAGGGAGGAGTGGAGGAAGAGAGGATGGACTAGCCAATGGTTTGGGGTGGAATGTGCAGAACAGTCAGCTGGGGAGAAGGCGTTAATGAGAAGTCTGCAGGGGGGACCTGGGCCCAGGCAGGGACCTTCCCTCAGCCAGGAATCAGCCACCAGCAATGCAGGGACCAGGAAGAATGTGGACTCTGCAGGCATGGTGATTTGGGGAATGTGTGCATTTGTGGGTGTGGGCAAGAATTGGTGTGCTGTGTGCACTGAGAAACATGTGTGCCTAGTTGTCCACGGTGACGTATAGACCCAGTGAGAGTGTGTGCTCTGCATGTGTAGAGGCAGGGACACGGTGAGGCGGGGACAAGTTGAGGTGGGTCCGAGGTGCACTGGTGGCTAGTGTGCGCGTGAGAAGGCATGTAAGCCCTGTGTTCACATCATGTACTCACTGAGGGATGGGCACACCTTGAAGTGGCTGGGTGTGTCCTTGGGGAGATGGGAGTGGGGGGTTATGCCTACTCTCTGAGGTGAGTGTACATGGCACGATGTGTTCACCCTGTGCTGGGGCTGAGGTACGGGCGTACTCCATCACATGGTGACCATCCACTGTCGTGGACAGGTCGGTGCATATCAGGTGAACGAGGGCCCAGACTACATGTGCTGCCTGGAGCAGCTGGCGGATCCTGGCCTCAGAGGACAGGAGAGGTCCCCTCAGTTGGTTTGCCATTGTAACCACTGGGGTCAGGGCTGCCCTCACAGCTGCAACCTCACTTGCCCTTATCACAGCTCCCTTCCACTGATGGGGTCCCTGGGGTTCAGATGGGAACACTGAGCCCTTTTTCCAGCTCACCACATGGCTGCCCAACCCGGGAAAGCCCTCTGCTCTTAGTACCTCAGTTCACCCACCTATGGGGTGAGGAATGTTGGTTGGCCCCAGATTCCTCACCCCCATCCTGCGGGTGAGGTCCTCCGTCTGGGGCCCTCTGACTTGTCCTCCCCGCCGCCCCCCATCCTAAGGTCTGGGGGCCTCTTTCAGGCCTGTGGCTCTCATCTGTGTAGTGAGATCATGAGCCATCCATTGAGTTTGTGGGGGAAGTGATAGGAAGGTAACGGGGTGCTCACAACTGTAGCTGGGATGGAAGCCATTGTGAACATTCTGTCTGGGTGGTTTTGCTGGGGCACCCAGCCTGGGATCCATGGAGAAACCTAAGGTCGGGGAAGCCCACATAGTGAAACTTCCCAGGATGTCCCTCGAGGGTAAGGCCGAATTCTCCAGGATGGGAGAGCGAGGGAGCTTTACGGTCTTGGGGATGGAGGTTCTATCCCGCAGCTCATTCCCCAGGTGATGAGTCCCATCGTGGGTGGCCGGTGGCGCTCTGGGGGTGTGCGCTGCCCACCCACAACCCCCGAGCCACCTTCGCTGAAGGCGGTCCATCCCCAGGTGCCCGGCGGCGGCGGCGAGTGGACCACCTCGCTGTTGTCCCCGCGCGAGGCGGACGCCACGGCCGAGGGCCCCATCCCGTGCCGGCGAATGCGCAGCGGCAGCTACATCAAAGCCATGGGCGACGAGGACAGTGACGAGTCCGGCGGCGGCAGCCCCAAGCCCTCCCCCAAGACGGCGGCGCGGCGCCAGAGCTACCTGAGGGCCACTCAGCAGTCTCTGGGAGAGCAGAGCAATCCCCGCAGGTGAGCGCACAGCCCCGGCCCCTAGAGTCGCGCCCACAAGCCAGCCCCGCCCCCGGGAGCCCCGCACCAGAAGCCTTGGCCACCCTGAGTTCAGATCCCTAAAAGGACCACGCCCTTAAAGTGAGCCACGCCCCCAGGCTATCCCCGCCCCCGCTGGGCCCCGCCCACTTGTGAGCTAGCCTCTGGGAAAGCCTCTTTACCTGCTTGCAACCCCCCGCTCCAAGCCTCGCCTTCCAGGTGAGCCCCTCGCTGGAACGCCACACCCCTGAGAACCTCGCCTTCCTCTTCTTCGGCCGCCGGCTGCTGGGAAAGCGCAGCCTCACAGATGAATCCTGCCCTCCAGCTTCAGGTCCCCTAGGTGAACCCTCCTTCAGGTGTAGACACCCTCCTGAGATCTTCCTCCTTAGGTTGGCCCCTGCTCTTTGTTGAGTTGACTCCAAAGAGCCCCGCCATTTGGTGAACTACCCCACTACCCACCGCCCCCCACCCCCCCAGTTAAGTCCTGGCCACACGTGAGCCTTATGCTCAGATAAAGTGTAAGGGGAGTCTCTCTAGAGAGACTGGCCCAGGAGGAGCCTGCCCAGAGGAGCCACACCCCCAGGTGGTTTCCAGTCCCACAGGGCAACTGCCCCAGGGGACCCTCTTCTTCTGGCTAGAAGAACCCTGCCCTTTGGGGGATTAGGGAGAATCCAGAAGTCAAAGGGAGTGGTACACAGCCTTCACCTGTCCATTACCTCGCCTGGAATTCCTGGAATGGGGCCCAAACCTATTGTTTTAAGGCTTGGAAGAGTTAGTGAAAGTGTGAAAAACGAAATGCACTCATACAGAAAGCAATAATTAACATGTTAGATAGAGAAGTGAGCTTGCACATGCAGAAGTCACAGTGGGGATTAGAACAGAAGGGAATGAGTAAAAAACAGGTGAAAGTTGGTGCAGGTGATTCAGAACCCACTGAGGGAGAGAAACAAGTCAGAAGCAGACGAAAGACTTGGAAGAGTTAAAGGAAACAAGATTAGTCCTAGTTCTTCAGTTCCTGGGGGCAACAGCCAAGGCTTCACGGAGAAGGTAGGCTGGGAAGACTGCAGCCGTGGGAAGAGAGCAGAGGAGGTGGGGAGGACTGAGGCGGGGAGTCTCCTTGGCCAGGACAGAAGACAGGGAATGGCCTGCAGGTGGGAATTCAGGACACCATGGGCTGTTTCTAGGTTTCACCCTCTCTGAGCCTTTTTCCCTAGCTTTAAGTAAAGGGGGCTGAGCTTGATGATCTCTAAGATCCCTTTCTAGTCCTGACCTCCTATAATTCTTAAATGATCTGCGGGCATGGAGGTGGGAGAGGTGGGCAGGACCAGTGTACAGGCCTTGAATGAGAGCGAATTGATAATAGTAGTACAGGCCTAATTCAAACCACGGTGATACAGAGAATATCGCAATAAAGTGAGTCACATGAATTTTTTTGTTCCCCAGTGCATGCAAAAGCTGTGTTTACATTCTAGTCTATCAAGTGTGCCATAGCATTATGTCTTTTAAAAGGTACATACCTTAATTTTAAAATGCTTTATTACTGAAAAATGCTAAGCATCACCTGACAACTCAGGGTTGCCACAAACCTTCAATCTGTAAAAAAAAAAATTCCGCAGAGCACAGTAAGGGGAATTGCAATAAAAGGAGTATGCCTGTAGTAACAGTAATGGGGGCCATCTGTTAGCACTTGCAGTTCTCTGGGCTCTATGCCTGCCCAAGTGCCCTTTAATCTGCATCTCTGAAACCTCCCCACAGCCCCAGCAGACAGGCATGGTGACACCCCCACTTAAAGGTGAGGAAACTGAGACTTACGGGGTGACAGCTTACCCAAGATCATCCAAGGAGGAGCCTGGGTCCCAATCCAAGTTTGTCTATATCAAGAGCTGAGCTGTTGGCAGCTTGGACCTTATTTTGAAAGCAGCAGTGCAGAGGAGGCCCGTGGTCAGGTAGTTCTGAGAAAGACTGAAACACCAAGACTGTGGGGGAAAAGTGATGAGTCTTCAGGAGCCTGGAGGAGGCTACCTGGACATTGTGTCAAAACTGATGACCTTTAGGCAGCCCTGGCTGGAGGTCAAGGCTTGTGGGCCTTGACCATCTCCTCTGTCCAGCCCCTAGAATTGCCCCAGGCCTGCAGAGGAAGGCGCTGTAGAATTGAGCTGGTGTGGAGTGCCTCTTGTTTGAAACAGTCAAAAGCGAGCTTGTGCTGCCACCTCGTGACTGCAGCGGACATGACAGGTGAAGGCCGCCTGCACCCACGAGACTCACAAGGCCTCCAAAAGCTAGGAGCTCTCCCCTTGCTCATCACCCCTCATACTACCCAGGCTGGCAAGGACTTCCATTTTCCCCTCTACCACTGGATGACCTAGGCTGGTTTTCCTGCCTCTGGGCCTCAGTTTTCCAGGCTGAACAAAGAGGAGACTGAGCCCCATCTGCTCCCCATCCCCTCCAGGAGTCTAGACCGCCTGGATTCCGTGGACATGTTGCTGCCCTCCAAGTGTCCGAGCTGGGAGGAGGACTACAACCCTGTCAGCGACAGCCTCAATGACTCCAGCTGCATCAGCCAGGTGAGGGCGGTGGGCAGCCAGAAGGCTGGTGGGCTGGAGAGAGCCCCGACTCCCACCCAGGAGAAGGACCAACGTCCAGGTTCAGCCTCTGCTGAGTGGTCCCTGAATGTCTGCCCTGTGCTTCTGTTCAGTCTTTGTTCCTGAAGCTGTCTGTGCATGTCTCTTCCCCACCGACCATCTAGGGCCTGGAGAGCAGCCCCAGGGCCCGACACTGATGGCCTGAGCTGTGGGCCCAGCGGGAGGGGTCGCACTACTGCTGTCCACCCAGAAGCCCCAAGGATGTGGGACTGGAGGCCTGGCTTTGAGTCCCAGTCTTGTCACTGACCGTGTAAACCCAAACACAATGTGCTCAGCACAGGGTAGCTACCTTGATGGTTCATGCTGCCATCTTGCAGTGTCACTTCCAGCAAGTTGCTTCTCCACTCTGGACCTCCATGTCCCCCATCTGCTCGGTGGATAGTTGGGCTTCCAGGACCGGGCCAGTTCTGCCACTAAGAGTGGTAAACACGCTGTGCTGTACTGTTAATTCTCTCAACCATCAGCTCCTGGATCCCTCACCACCACCCCAGAGGGTCCTTATCCATATCCCCATTTCACAGATGAGGAAACTGAGGCCCAGATAGGTAGGGTCACACAGAGAGGAGCAGGCACAACTGGGCAGAGATGGGTTGTCAGACCCAGACCTGGACCTCATTCCCTACTGTGTTGTGCACAGTACTTTACCATTTGCAAAGAGACAGCCAGGCAAGGCTCAAGGGCTCCCTCCATAGTGTGAATGGGGGGATGAGGCCCAGAGAGGGCAGACACCTGCCAATGGTAGCACAGTGAGGCAGCAGAGACAGGTGCAGACCCAGCTGCCTCTCTACGCAGGAACAGGCCCCAGCTCCCACTGTGTGCAGCCCCACTGCCTGGGCTAATGGACTGCTTTGAACTTTTGGACCCCAGATCCCCACCACACCGTTATTCCTAGCCTGGCCAAGCTCTCCCCAGCCACCCCGCTCAGGACTGTCATTCCCAGACTCCACGGAAAGCAACCTTAGAAGTGGAGAGAGGTAGAGCCCCCCCACCCCAGCCAGGGGACCCTCTGCCCCTCCCATCCTCCATGCCCCACCAAGTCTCACCTGAGCAGTTGTGCTGGCCTCCATGCCTGTCACCTCCAACCTATTCACGGTGGCCAGAGGGAGATAGCAAAAGGCAGAAGTCAGATCACATCACCTGCTCCGAACCCTCCCATAGCTCCAGCCTCACCCCAGGAAAGCCAGACCCGCGAGGCCTGGCCTCCCTCTCAGATGTGATCACTGACATATTCTGTCACCGGCCCTGCTCCTGCCACACTGGCCTCCTTTTGCTCCTCACATCCCTCATTCCTGCCCCAGCCTCCCTGCACGTGTTCCTCCCAGGAGCACTCTTCTCTCAGATCTTGGCACAGCTGGCTCCTCTCTGTGATCCAGGTCTTGGCTCAAATGTCACCTCAGAGGGACCTGCACTATCACTTCCCACCTCAGGGGGTCCCCGGGGCCCTGTTCCCTTACCTCGCTTCATTTTCTCAACAGCACTTCTCACTCTTAGGCATTGTATTTGTTTGCTTATTTCCTTGGTGTCTGTCCCACCCCCCGGGCGCTCCCAGCAGACAGGGACCTTGCTGTCTTGTCCCCACAGTGTCCCCAGGCAGGTGGCAGAGCATGAAGGTGTTTGCTGAGTGGACAGTGCCCTTCCCTGTCTCTCCCATCCTGTCTGTCCTCTCACCCCTCAGCTGTCTTGTCTGTGTCCCTCTGTTTCTGTCTGTTCTCATTCACATTTTTCTGATTCTCTCCAGTGTGTCTCATCTCCATGTTTCTCTCTGGGTCTGTCTGTCTCACATGCACCCTCTCCACCCCCAGCCTGGCCCTGGCACCGGAATCACACTTTTGTCCTTTGGCTACACAAAAAGGTACATGGAATCAGCTAGGCTGGGGACCCCAGCCAGTCTATCCCACTCCCCCTGCCCAGCCCCAGTTCTCTTTTGGCCCAGAGTCCTCTGAGCCCCAAAACCCTCACCCCGTGAAGCTTGAGTGACCTGAGCCACATATGTGGCCTCAAAATCAGAGATGTCTGATTCTGTCTGTATCTCTGAGCCTCAGTTCCTACCAGGAGAAGCTCCCCTCCCACCAGGCACTGGACTGGGTAAGCCCTGACCAGGGAAGAGAAGCATCCAGGTTCTGCCCCTAATCTATAGATCCTGGGAGGCTACCTGCCCAGCTGAGAGGCAGCAGACAGGACATCCATGGTCCCAGGAGAAACACTTATAAACCCAGTCCCAGAAGGAGTGAGCCTCCTATCCCTGGAGGAAACCAAAACCTCCTAGTAACTTGGCCCCAGCCAGTCTAGGGAGGAGGTTAGACCAGCCCCAAGTTCTCTTGTAGCCAAGCCTGAAGACCCCACCCCAGCCCCCAGCCTCGGTCTCCCCGTAACCCTCCCCATCTCTTTCCTGCAGATTTTTGGACAGGCCTCCCTGATCCCCCAGTTGTTTGGCCACGAACAGCAGGTCAGTATGTTTGCCATTCTCTTGCTGCCCCATCCCAGAGTCCGGGGCTGGGCCTAGGCACCTCAGTGTCCTGGCCCCTAACCTGGACAGGTGCAAGCAAGCTAGCACCAGGAAAACCTCCTCCAAGGAGGATGGATTGGGGCTCATGTTGCCACCTGGACCTTTCACTCCCTGGCCGTGTCACTTCATTTTTCTGTGCCTCAGTTTCCTCTTCTCAAAAATGGAAAAGAATGAGTTAGGTTCTATGGATGAGGCAAGAATAGCCCCAGGACATTAGGACAGCATTGTAAATCAACTCTACTTTAAAAAAAAGAGTAACCCTAGGATAAGGGAAGGCATATCCTGAGATCTTCTAGCCCCCTCCTTGTCTTCTCCCTCAAAGCCTGGGAAAGGCCAGGCAAGACTGTTCTATTTGGACAGATCAGGGGTTGGGGACACTGGCCTCCACGTTCCAGGCCCCAGATCCTCTGACTTATCTCTTTTCTTGGGTTCCATCAAGATCTTTAAGGATGTTAGGGTTCTGGAGTGAATGCAGAGACTTTTCAAGTTTACCAAAGTTGGTGAAGATGATGCTGGTATTGGCACTGTCTGCGTGTCCTAAGGGTGCCCCCTCCCACGCATACCCATCCTACCCCCGGAAGTGGTCCTTTCCTCCCCCCACCCCCCAGCCCCAGCCCCAAGGCCACATGGCCTACACGGTAGAACTAGGACTGACCGTACATCTCCTGATTCCAGCCGTGGATGCCTCATGCACCTCCCACCTTCATTTCAGAGTTCCTCTTGGTCATACTGATGCAGAGGGTCTTTGGGGAGCCCACAGTGGGCCAGGTGATCTCTTCTTCCTTCAACAGCCTTGTGATAAGGATGTGATGTTTCACAGATAAAACCTCCAGGGGAGGTTCCCTACACACAGTGCACCCTCAGTGGTACACATGCACTAACCAGCTGGCCTCTCCCCAAGAGCTTGGGAGCGTCTTAACCAACACTCACAAATCCTTGCAATCACCCCACAGAGCTGCCTGTAATAACAGGTACAGGTTATCAGGTACTGATTTTCCCCCCACCGCGACACTCTTCAAAGCATGTGATATGAATTATCTCATTTAATCTTGACCACCATCCTGTGAAATCTGGTCCCTAATTAGCCCCCATTTTATAGATGGGGAAACTGAGGCACAGAGTGGTTCAGTGACTCGCTCACATTCATATTGTGAGCAAATGATGGACCTGGCAGTGAAACTCTGGCTGTCTAGCTCCCAAGCTGGGCCATTACCATGCAATCCTGAAGCAAGACTTCATTGCCTCTGAAAATCACAAGGGCCTCTCAGTATACCTCCCTCAGGTTTCAACTCTGGAGGATAAACACCTGTCTCTTTAATGCCCCCTCCAGGTGATTTCTGGGATATGTTACATGGCCTACATGTTAATTTATCAGTGCTGTCTGATAGAACCTGGTGATAATTAGAAATGTTCTATCATCCATGCTGTCCAATAAAGGTAGCATGAGCAAGTGCAATGTGGCTAGTGTAATTAAGGAACTGAAATTTTTTTAAATTATATTTCACCTGAACCTAAATAGCCACACACAGTTGCTACCGTATCTAACAGAGCAAATTTAGACCTTCCCAAACATATACTCTAAATTGGGTGATGATTCCTCTGGCCACTTTACCTGGTGCAGGACCTGAAAAGTTCACAGGCGTTCCACTTCATTTAGAGGAGGAAACACTGGTCTGAAGGGTAGTGCTGGCCTGAGGTCGCACAGCAGGTCCAGGGCAGAGCTGGCCCCAGGCCCAGCCTCGTCTTTTCCTCCACGTGGTGCTCAGTCAACTTTTGCCCTGCCGTCTAGCCCAGGTTGTCTCCCAAGTCCCCACCCAGTGTCCATCTTTGGCCGACTCACTCCTCAGCTCATACTTTGTGATCCCCATGTACCAAGATTGCCTGTGACCTGGGTCAGACAGGCCTTTCCAGAATTCTTAGAGGCTATATGTATGGTGAGGCCCCTCTATGCTCACAACTCCAGCTGCAGATTTGTAGGATCTTGAATGGTTTTCTCTAGAGGGACACTTAGAAACCATCCAGATGAGGTTGAGCTAAATGTGAGATGGCAAATAGCACATATACCACCATTATCCATACTGCCGGTGGCAGACATCACTAATTGATCGTCACTGCCACTACCCTCATTCCAATATTATTTTCTCTCACCAGACTATTGCATCGCTTCGTCTCTGACCTCTGCCTCCATTCCACACTCTCTATCCAACATCCATTCTGTATCCCAGGGCTAGATTAGTCTTCCTTAAATACACATTTGGAGTATTGATTCTGCTACTTCCTCACTGAATGCACCTGGCAAGTATCTTCCCCTCAGTTGCCTTCAGTTTCTTTGCTTATAAAAATGAAGGAATTGGACCATAAGATGGTAAATGTCTAGCACATCTAGTGCCACCTCCCCATTCCAACCATCAGGGCAAACATTACTAATTGAGTATAGCCTTCTTTCTGGTTGACTTCAGATGTAACCTCAAAATCTATTAGTTAATCAGTCTGAACACACAAAATAAAACCTAGTTAACATCCTAGAAAGTATATTGAACAGTTTCTCCTCCATCTTAGAGATGGGAAAATTGAGGCCCAGAGAGGTGAGAGGGGCTGTCTATTTCTTAAGGGCTCCCTTTGCCCATCCTATGCCCCGAGTGAGATGGGAGCAGGAAGGTGGGCTGAGTTGCAGCACCAGACTCCAGCTCTGCAGCTGAACCGACCACCAAGCACCCCCATCCCTCCAGAATGGGCGGAGATGGCCCCTGATGCCTGCTTTTGCCCGGACAGGTCCGGGAGGCAGATCTGAGCGACCAGTACGAGGCGGCCTGCGAGTCGGCCTGCAGCGAAGCGGAGTCGACTGCGGCTGAGGCTCTAGACTTGCCGCTGCCCAGCTACTTCCGCTCCCGCAGTCACAGCTACTTGCGCGCCATCCAGGCGGGCTGCTCGCAGGAGGAGGACAGTGTTTCCCTGCAGTCCCTTTCCCCACCGCCCAGCACCGGCAGCCTCAGCAATAGTCGTACGCTTCCGAGTGAGTACCGAGGTGGGGGCGGGACTTGTTCGTTTGTTTTGCCAGGGGGGCCCCTGGGACCTTGCCTGGTGGACTGCAGATGGAAAGGAATCCATAGTGGGCAAGCCAGGAGTGGAGGGGTGGTTAGGCAAAGCAGGAGCCCTTGGGGCTGAACTTCCCACCAACTGGTAAACTGGAGCTCAAACGGGGCGTGGGGGAGGGGTCACAGAGAGAGATGTCAACACTGGGAGTGGGGTGGAGGGGTCTAGCTTGTGAGATACTTGGTGGCCCCTGGGTCTCTAAACCCTGATTCAGAGCAGCCTCCTGCTGGCAGGCAGGGCTCACTGAAGCCCTACTTACCTGTTTGGATTAGTTCAGGTAGGCAAACCTGTGGGGAGGGCGGGACCCTGCAGGAAGAGAATGGGATTTGCATTGGGCCGTCTCAAAGGGGTGAGTTTGCAGGTGTTTCTCATATTCACAATCAGGGACAGCCTGTCCTTCCTGATACCTGTTCTGAGTTCTCTGACGATAACCCAGGGATGATCAGAGAAAAGGGGGACCCTCTCTCCCAGAGCAAGCCATGATATCAAGACCAAGGAAAATCATAGCACAGTTTCTGGCTTAGTAGACAGAACTCTGATCTCACTCTGGCCAGCAACTCTTCCTCCCCGAGCTTCAGTTTCCCCGTCTATAAATTGAAGCATAAACCAGACCCCAGAGAGCTCTCCTGCAGATGAAGTAAGTCTGTGCCTGGGGAGGCTTAGGTGGGTGGGGCCTTGCCTGCGATAGGAGCTGACAAATGTAGTTGTTACTACTGATTCTCAGTCTTGACTCAGAGCCTGCTGGCAATCAAAGGCATTTGGGGTTGGGTTACTGTAGGAGAAGACACTTGTTTCAAGTGCTCAGTTGGTGTTTGATGTGAACAAATGAGCCTGAATTTCAGGGAATTCTATACACAAGAAAGCAGCTTGTTGACTGTAATGAACTTAGCTGGGGACAGAGCAAGAAACCACCTTGTTCACTATTGCCTTTCAAATCATGGGTGGTATCTGGGCGGGTTCCTGAGCTTTTCCTATCACTTTTAGACCTTAAGGAACAGATTTTGAGAGTCTGGCCTCATTTCAAAACACCAGGCTCATCCACTTCAGACCTCATGCACCTGGCAGCTAGGGCTTGACTGGGCTGGAAAGCCCACAGTGGGGAGCTGGGCATGGTGGTCAGTGTCTCCTGGGTTCCTTGTTCACCAGTGGCCATTGCTGGTTCCTCCAGTGGGAGGGGAAGGTCGCTAAGGCAGGGGTCGTCTAGCATCAGGACTTTTCTATGGGACAGACGCCACCTGCAGCTCTTTCTCTTAGGTGATGCTTTTGGAGTTTCTTCTGTCCCGAAGGCCCTCATGATGCCTCCTCTCCTGGCCTGGGCAGTCCCCCTCCATGCCACTGCTGCTTATTCCCTCTCAGCTTTTCCATCCAGTGGTCCCTCTCCTCCCCACTCAGCCTTTTTTTTTTGCCAGGGGACCTGCCCCTGCCAGGCAGGCTTCTTGGACAGACTCCTCTGAAGACAACTCCAACCCTACTGTCTCCCTCAGCTTGACTTAACCTATATGACAATGGGGACTGTGCCTTGCAGAACTCTGAAAGTACAGGGTGGTCTGCTACACCCGTCCTTCTAGCTAACCCTGCCAGCCTCTCCATGTTAGGAGTCTCAAGCAGGCATTGGGGTCCACATTGTTTGGCCTCCAAATCCAGGGAATCTCTCTGCCCGACTCTCCCAGACACCCTATTCCAGTCCTCTAAGAGCCTTGGGTGAAGGATCAGATTCTCCACATCACCAGGCCCAAGGGAAATTCTCCCTCTTTTTTTTTTTTTGTGGGGGTGGGAGTACACCATGCAGCTTGCAGGATCTTCTTAGTTCTCCAACCAGGGATCAAACCCATGCCCCCTGCAGTGGAAGCACAGAGTCTTACCCACTAGACCACCAGGAAAGTCCTGTAAGGGAAGTTCTCTAAGCAGAAGGTGAGCCTGGGGAATCAAATAGCACCTCCAACGATTTTCTTCAAATAAACCCTCATTCACTAATCTCCCCTACCTCATGCACTCATGAATGGGCTGAGGTTGGGTGATGGGCCACATGTCTCAGAACTGTTTGGAACCCTGTATTGGTCAACTATTGATACAACATTGCTGCATAACAAACAACCACAAATGAGGTGTAAAAAAAAGTAACATTTATTTCTTTTGCAGCACATTTGTGGTCAGCTGGAATGTACTCCACATGTTTTTCACCCTCTTCCCGGGACCAAAGTGTCCTGGGATCAGTGGCTTTGGCAGGGCATGTTCCTCTTGTGGTGATGGCAGAAGCGTAGGAGAGTAAGCCTAACTACACAGGCACATTTCAAGGACCCTGCTTGCATAATATCTACAAAAATCCTATTGGTTGAAGGGAGTCATATGACTAAGCTCAAAGACAAGGGATGGAGAAGTACCTTCCCACCTTTGTGTAAGAAACTGATTTATATTGTAAAGTGTGAGGATTGAGGAAGGGGTGAAGAATCAGGGTCAGTAATTCAATCTACTGTGGTCCACTTTCTTGGCCACATTTATTCCTGTCCTTCTTACAGAAAATACCCTTATCTCAAAGATCCTGAAAAATCTCATTCAACCATAACATCAGGATGTCATGGTACACCTGAAATTAACACTGAAAATCAACTATCCTTCAGTAATAAATAAATATATTTTTAAGGAAGAAAAAAAGATCTCATGATCTGTGTCAAATCTGGATGTGGCTCCTCTTGATTGAGGAACCCAAAACCTAAAAAAAGAAAAAAAGGTATCTACCTCCCACCTCCCAAACAATGCCCCCACCCCCCACCCCCAACACACACAGCATGCATTGGTGAAATAGGGACAGGATGACTTGCAGGTCACATTCTTGTTCAGAAGGAGGGGGAAGGGGTTCAGAGACTTACTGATCCATGGCCATTGTGAAGTCCCTCTTGGCAAATGTTGGGCAGATACTCTGGGAGAGGGAATATCTCTTGATGAGGCCCAAGGTCTGCTCCCTGGGGTTGATTCCCTAAGCCATGGTTTTCTATAGCTCTCCAGAAGTCCTTCCTTTTCCATTAGCCTTTTTTGGCCATGTCTAAAGAAAGCACTGGAGAATATAGGTCTTTGGGCAGTTTATGAACTGTTGTTGCCTGCTTCCTGCCTGAAGGAAGTTAGGGACCCAGATGTCTTTTTACACCTTGAATGGTCTCAGTCTCTTTAGCCTAAGCGATCATAGTTTTGACCACACACCTCCCTCAAACACTTTATGGGTTTTCTATGTATTGTATTCCACTTTACTTCCATACTGCAAAAACTACACCATTAATTTTTGAGTTATGACAGTCCCTCTCTACTCAATTATGACTACTTTGGGTGCTTCTGTGGGGCCATGGTCTTAAACTTTCTGGAAGCCCTTTTGAGCAGCTGAGAGCATCTACTAAACGGTACCTTATTATTTTCAAGTATTAATAAAAGATGTTGTAACTATGCTCTTGATTGGATCTGGCCCACATGTTATGTCTTAACTGGCCATGACCTTGGTTTGATCTTTGCCCCCAGGCTGCATATTAATTTGAGACTGATTTACTGGCTGGAGAAGCGTTGACTGATTTATTTTCCAACTCGGCCAAGTTCTGAGCTCTCTGTATTCCCTCTAAACACTCAACACTCCCTATATCTTTTATTAATTCCACTCGTTCTTGTAAGTCCTTATCAAATTCAGCCCAGAGGCGCCAGCTCTTGCTTTCAACATTTACCTGGAAACCATCTTGCCCAAATCCATTGGTTCTCTTCAAGTTACTATAGATGGACAGCTTTACCAAGCATTTTGTCTCTGCATAGTGTGAGGTCACATTTTTTCAAGCCTCCAGTGACAGCTCACTGCATACCACTTGGTCCTGAAGACAGTGCTACATATTTTTATTTTTATTGCTCATACACCCCACTCTTGGTATCAATTTCTGTATATATCAACTATTATCACAATAATGCCATGGAACAAGCAAGCACATCTAATTTCAGTGGCACCCAATAATATGTATTTGTTCTCATTCATGAGCTTTCGAGTCACCTGGTTTTGCTCCACATGTCCTATATCCTTCTCCTCCTGGGATGAAAGTGCATTCTTAGAATCAGTGCCCAAGCCATGCCATGTGTTTTCCATGGAGGTGCAGAAGTATAAGAGGGCTAAGCCCACTGTACAAGCACATTTCAAGTCTCCTGTGAACATCTGGTTGGTCAAAGCAAGTCACGTGAGCCCAAAGCCAAGGTCCAGGGAAATACACTCGACCTTTTGTGGGAGAAACTGCAGTTATGTAGCAAAGGGCATGAACATAGGGAAGGGTTGAGGATTGAGGCCAAAAATTCAATCACAGCCCCTTCTGCACCTCCCATATGAATGATTCAGCATTTTTAGCTCTAAATGTAGGAAAGGTGGGGGTGGGGGAAGTGGGAGGGCTCCAGTTATTCTCAGTTTGGGGACTTAAGCCCAAACCAAGATACTCAGGAAAGTATGAGAGGACTTCTCTGGTGGCCCAGTGGCTAAGACTCTGCGCTCCCTATGCAGAGGGCCTCGATTCAATCCCTGGTCAGGGAACTAGATCCCACCTGCCAAAACTAAAGATCTGCTGTTCTGCAACTAATATCCAGCACAGTCAAATTAATTAATTAAATTAATGTATTTTTAAATTAAAAAGTATTGGTAGCAACATTTGACACCTTACCCAGACATGTGTGCACATATATACCTATTTGTGGACATATGTAAGATTCTAAACCCTTAGACCTCTAAGAAAACATATAAAAGCATATGCACATTGGTGTTCTCACATGTATGTGCACATATACACCTAATTGCTACATACAGTTGCACATGCTCTCACATATGTGTGTGTCTTCTTCCAGGCTCATGCCACCTCCACACCAGTGAGGAAATTGTGCCCCTACCAGATTGGAACCACCAAAAACATCTTCCCC